GATAAAAAAGGCTAGATGGGTCTAAGTTCTGACAAGGATGAGCCCATAAAGCATTGCTGGATGAAGAGTTCTGTCACCAGATTTATGTTCAGACAGCAGCGGCAATGGCCAGACCAACGGGGAGAGCTGTGCTCCCTGCCTGCCTTTCTTCCTTCCGTCCTCCCTGCCCCCTTCCGATTAGAACCTTCATATCTATCTCCATATCTATCTATCTGCCAATCACTGTCTATCCACCTATTCATCTACCAGAGCAATTCACACCAATCTAATAACTGTGAATCATAAAGGAAGATCAGTCCCGAGCCCACACTTGGGAGGCAGTTCAAAGCCGACTTTAGTCTTTCCTGTGACGTTTTGAAGCTGTTTTTAAGTCAAACATGTTCACACCATCGCTGAGATAATTAACAATTAATTCTTCAAAGGCAGAGAACGAAAAAGGAAGCAAAAGGGAATAAGAGACAGCATGGGAAAGAAGTTAGCCACAGACAGACAGACACTCTGTCTGTCCTGCCATCCTCCCCGGCAGGTGCCAAGACTGGAGACAACTCAGACAGACCCTGCCCTGGAGATGCTTGTGGTCTGGTGGGGAGAAAAGATCTCCAAACACACGCCTGGGCCTGGCTGTCTGGGGTGTGTGCCCGTGGTCTAACCTTCCTCCGTCAGATAGGGAGGCTGTGAGCTGAGCTCCAGTGCAAAGACCAGCATGAGGATGGTACATGACCTGCACCCCACCACTGCCCCTTGCAAGAGGTTCCTGAGGCTGGCTAGGAACAGAGTAGACATCTCAAAGCCTGAAAGAATTTGGGCTGATCTGGAAAGCCATGAAGCAAAATTAGTCAGCTTGAACTTGCCCAGGGGTGCAGTGGGGATCTGGCTGAGAAGGGTTAAGCCAGCAGAGGGTGAGCTCCCAGATAGGGGAGTTAGAAAACCAGTGTGTTGGTGCTGGTCAATGGTTAAGGGCAGCGGCCATTTTTGCAGAAGACCCATACTTGATTCCCAGCAATCACATGGTGACTCACAACCATCTGTAAATTCAGTTCCAGGGGATCTGACAGCTTCTTCTAGCCTCCATGGGCATAAGGCATGCATGTGGTACACAGACTTACATGCGGGCAAAACACCCTTACACATAAAATAGTAAATGTTTAGGAAGCAAGCAAGCAAGCAAGTGTGCATGCATTCAAGCAAGCAAGCTGGTGTGGATGGAAGGAGGGAGGCTGTAGATGGAGGCGGCACACAGATAGCGTGGTAGCATCTGCTTAGGACCAAGGCACTGTCCTAGATGCTGGGAGGAGCCCGGGCTGCTACTACAGAGCTGAACATCGCTGGAGGAATCAGAGGTGCCCGCGGCTTGGTCGTTACACTTCTGTAAGTGGCTGAGAATAAAGAAGTGGAAGCCAGTGTAGGGAGAGGGATCCTCTCTGGTGTGCACAACAAGCCTTTGTCCTCCGGTCCGTGTTCAGGGACATGAGTGTGCAGAGATGGCTCTGTGCCCACAAAGAACAAGAGGCAGCGATCATTGTCTCCTAGGGAGCAACTCTCCCCTCAGAAGCCAACAGGAAGAAGATTTGGAGCAGGGATACCCAAGGATGGGAGAAAAGCCAGGAGGAGAGAGTAGATTAGGCGAGGATGAATTCTCTCTGTCACTGGGGCCCAACGGGCAAGGGAAGGGAGATGAAGAGGCAAAAGGCAGGTGGGATTTGGCTACCAAATAGCCTCTGGGGGATTTGCTCAAGATCCTGGGTGGGCTCCAAGAAGCTTAGGTCAGTGACCAAGGCTGGCTTGAGTTTGGGTCTGGAAGAGAATTGATGCGGTCAGTCCCAGGGTTCCCTTCCAGTCTCTTCTGTGAATAAGAGGACACAGGAAGAGAGGACCAGTGACTTGCCAGAGCCTGACCCACTTCATGTTGGAGGGACGTGGGCAGAGGCGGAGGCCATGCTGGCCACAGGGGGAGAAGACAGGACAGGACAAGAGGTTTGGAGGGGAGGTCTTCATCCATCTGAAGGGGGGCAGGGAGGGATGTGTTTGGGATGGATAGTTGACACAGATGTGGGAGACTGGGCCGGGCTGAGGAGAGGAAGGTGACTCCACAGGTCTGGTGCTGTGCTGAACCACAGGACCTGGGCTTGTGAGGACAGACATGTGTAGATGGAGTCCCCGAAGCCCACTGGGAGCAGTGTGACCCTAAAGCACCTGAGAGAGGGGCAAAAAGGAGTGAGGACCCAGTCCTGGAGGGCACAGGCAGGGAGATAGACATGTAACAGAAGGGTGGAGGAAGAGGCCAAGGCGGACCCCAGCAAAGCACACACGTGTGTATTCACACGCACACACATGGACACTATGTGAGACCACACACACACTCAGTGAAGCTGAGAGAGGCTGAGAGACTTTAGGAGGTCCTGTCACTCATCATCTGGTAGTAACTGATCTTTCTTGTCCCTGAACTCCTTGGGACATGGTCGGAGGTCTTGGAATTTCTATCCCCTCAGAATTCCCAGGGGCCCCGCAGACATCCTTGATGGCTGGCTGAACGGTAGCCATCTGTTCATTGGCCACAAAATGCCGGGAGCAGGGGCCTGGGCTGCAGCAGCCTTCAGAGGAAGATGCACAGAAAGGTGGTGGGTGAAAATGCAGGAGTGTCGCCCCCCTTCTGGGGGTCTGGGTTGTGGCACACCCTGCATTAACGACAGCAGGGAAGGAGTTGTTGGGGTACAGAAACCATGAGATGAAGTTGAACCCTGAATCTGGGGTGTATGCCAGAGAGAGGGGGCGGAGAGATTTAGGGGACAAGAAGAGATTGGGGGTCCTCACAGACAGCAGGAGGTGAGCTCGTGTAAGAAGGAAACACAATGTGAGAGGAGGTGGGCCATGCAAGGGCAGGAGGTGAGGGGCCAGGCAGACCCGGGTCCAGTGCTCATGAGTCACTCTGTAGCCGGACCTCGCATCTCAAAGATGTGGCTCACATGCGGGGGCACGAGCAGACACTCAAGCATGCTGGGAAATAGAGACAAACTGCAAAACTCTGCACACTCCAGAAAGAGAGAGAAGGAGCTGAAGGGGAAAGTGTTGGACACACGCACACACGCACACTCAGGCACACATACAGGCAGAGCAGGGATGACGCACGAACCCCAAGCCAAATCCAATATGTTCTCTACAGGGAGGAGGGAGCAGGCGGAGCGGGATGAAGGCAGAAGCCGCAGGGGTGTGGAGAGTGGAACATCAATAATAAAGTTACAAAAGAAATGGAAGAGGGGAAGTGGGACCCTCCAGAGGCAAGAGGCAGGCAGGCGGGCAGGCGTGTGCACACGGAGGATGGGAAGGGGAGGAGGAGGAGAACAGAAAAAGCCTGAAGGGAGAGGTCAAGGCGGCCCACGCATTCACCCAAAGCAGATGGGGGGGGAGGGGGGACGGCGGCGGGCAACCTCCAGGGTCAAATGCAGAGAGGAGGAGAAGTGTGAGGGAGAACAGAGTATGAAGGGAGGGAGGTGGTGTGTGCATGTGACAGGCCCACAGACAGAAACATGGTGGACAAGGTCTAGACCGCACCCTGGAACCCAGAAGAACGGCGGGAGGGAGGGAGGGAGCCCTGCCTGAGCACAGGTGTGGTAAGCAGCCTCTTGGGCCCTGAAGGGAAAAGAAAAACACTCCATCCACAGGAGAGCAAAGCAAACGCAGGCCACCTTTCCTCTGGAAGGGCTCTGGCAGGTGTTCAAACAGGGGCCCTGTGCCTGCAGCAAGTTGACAAACGGCCTCTCGGTGAAGGGGAAGAGGGAAAAAGCGCCATTTTGTATGTTTGTCCTTTTCTACACTGTAAATGCTACCACTGTGGCCAAGTCAAACCAGCAACACACCGGTGCTAAGGGGGGGCTGGGAGATGCCAACCAGGACCTCACCAAGCTCCATAGAGACCCAAGCTAACACCAGATTTAAAAAAAACAAAAACAAAAACAAAAAACAAAAACAAAAAACAAAAACAAAAAAAAAACTCATTGGTCGGGCTGGGGAAATGTAGGTAAGAGCACTTGCTGCACCATTATGAAGCATGAAGACCTGAGTTTGAATCCCTGACACCCACATAAAAAGGTTTGTACGTTCCTATAGCCTGGTGTGCTGTTGGGGCCAGAGACAGGAGGGTCACTGGAGCTTGCTGGCTGCCAGCCCAGCTCCAGGTTCAGTGAGAGATCCTGTCTCAAGATACAACATCCTCCTCTGTCTTCTAGAGATGTGGGTATGCATACTTGTGCTCATGGGCCACACACACACACACACACACACACACACACACACACCACACCACACCTAATGAGAAGATACCTCTGTGTGGATGGGTCACAGGAGCTGGTCACTATAATGTCCTTTGGGGAGGAGAAGAGGAAACATCAGCCCTGTGCCATGCTTTAATACTGTGCCATGAGAATTTCTTTTTGTATCCCATAGATAATTAAAAACGTTTCTTTCCCTCAGGAGGCTAAGGCAGTTAGAAGCCAGCCTGGGCTATATAGAGACACACTGTCTCAAAGAACAACACACACACACACACACACACACACACACACACACACACACACCCCTTAATTTTTTTAATCAGGAGGGAAATAGAGAGGAAAGAGGGAGTGGGGGCTGGCAGAGGAGAAGGGGGGATCTCCAGACCCTTGGACCTTCTGTCTCTTCTCTAGCCACAGGTGGTTCCCAGCACTCCATGGATGCATGGATGCTGGCCCGGCCCTCGAGCAGCCCACAGAGGACGGAGAAGATGCCCCCATAACACACATCCCTGTGTGTCTACGTGGCAAACATTTGTTTGGAGAGGACCCAGGGCTTCCTGAGAATACCCAGTGACCCTTCTCAGCAGGGTTGCTGGGGTGGGACGAGGGCACTCTGAGTGTGGTCAACACAAAAGTGGAGACCATCTCTCATAGATCAGCCAGGGCAGCACAGGGTTCTGAGAGGGAGCTTGGAGCCCGGGACTGTACGGGAATAGGTGAAGGACAAACAGAAGAATGGCCTGAGAGACAGGGAGGAAGGTAGGGCAGGGAAAGAGCTCCAGGGTCTTTGGGCGGGGGTGGAGCCGGGCTAAGGGAAGCAGCCACAGTGGAGTGCCCATCTCCAGCTGTTCTATAATGCCAAGAGGACAGGAAGACGTTGAGAACAAAAGGTCAAGGTCTCCTCGGGTGGGAGAGAGGTGAGCCGGTCCACCTGCTGAGAAAGCCCAGGCGAGGGAGGAAGGAAGAAACAACTGTTGCTAGGGCAACAGCACGGTGGAGCAGATGATCGATGGAAGAGAGGGAGGGGACCATGGCAGGAGAAGGAGCCAGGTTAGACGGGGAAGGTAGATGAGGGGAAGCGCTTATGTGCTTCCAGTCCTGGATCTGAAGAAAGGAGAGAAAGGCAGAGTTCTTGGACTTGGTTAGTCTTTGCTACTGGTGAGGCTCTGGTTGTGGGGTTGGCCCGACAGGCCCAAAATGCCCTGGGCATTTTGTAGTCATGTCTGCAATGAACCCAGAGATGCGGATCATCACATCTTTCACACACACTGTGATGCTTAAAGTAAAAAACTTACATTGCACCTATTATGCTATACTTTTACTGTAGATAATGGGTCTGCTTCTTCCAGGGACTCGGGTCCAGGATGTGTTGTGGCCTATGAGATCTAGATCTTCAAGGAACGGCCAATAAGTGTTCTGTGTTCTCTGGATGGATGGATGAATAAATGAGTGGACAGATGCATGAGCAGATGAATGAATAGATGTGTAGACAATGGATGATAGTTTGGTAGGTGAATGGATGGATGCATGAACAGATCATTTAATGGACTGATAAATAAACGGATGAATGGATGGATGGATGGATGGATGGATGGATGAGTAGATGGGTAGATGGGTAGATGGATGGATGGATGG